AGGGGACTAAATACCACAAATCAGCCTGTTCAGTGTAATGCCATGCTATGCTTATTTTGTCAAATGAAGTATGGCAGGAAGACAGCAAGCCTGGGCTTCAGTGCTGCTCTCTTTAGCGATAGAACTTGGGGTAGGGCTGAGTCTTGGGCTGCCTCTGCTGCGCTTCCCTGTTTGGCTTGAAGTAAGCGTGCAAGACTCTCAGGTCATCCAGATCTCTTAAGATAATAAGTTTTGAAATAGAAAAATAATAGCCATGTAATAGCCAACATAACTGATAGTAAGAGGGTTGGGTAATATAAACTAAGGAAACGGGCTTCACAAGAAGTCTGCACTTCCCCTCCCTGCCTGAGTGGGAGATTCATTTTCCTCTAACCCTGCCATGCCTGTCACCTGGGTCTCCAAACCACAAAAGAAATTCCTGCTTCCCTTCTCTGAAAAGTCCTCTGGTCTCCATCACCTCTGAAGTTTCATTGTGGGTTGGCTCCTGATATAGGCATATCCTCCATCTGTTGGTTTTCTTCTTGTCTGGTCTTCTCTGTGCTCCAGCAGCTTTCCACAACTCAAGTGCACTTAGTGTCACAAGCTAGACACACAACCTCTCCCTCAAGCTCCTTACTGATCTGGGTTATAGAGGCCAAGGTGAGCAGCCTGGGGAGGCTTGCACACTGGTCTGCTCAAGGTTAAGAGGAAGAGGAAGGTATTGTCTGCAGAACCTGTCCACCAAACGGAGACAAGTTAATTACTATATCCTGCACCATCATTTGAAGTCAGTCCACAGCAGCGTCTCTTGCAGTATGATGGCTCTGACTTTATTTCCTGAATTTTTACTCTAATCTGTACTATTTGAATGCAGGAAGAAAGTGGCACTAACTGAATCAGTGAAAAATTGGCACTATCAACTATGAATAATCCAACACTAATACTCTTTCACAAAGAAAAAGATCATTTTTTTTTTTAATGTGGTGGTGAAAAATATAAGGGAAACCAGGTAATTATATCTTCCTCATACTCCCCAATAGATACAAAATGTAGTGCAAATTTTTTAAGCAATACTGGAAATCATCAATACCTGCTATACTAAACCTTATGAAGCCAAAAGGGTTTGTTTTAAATTGAATATTTGTATTTAGTTATGTCTCATTAAAGGAACAATTAAGACTGAATTGTGCCAGCAGTTAACTAGTGATATCAAGTGCCTAGCTGAAAATAGAGAATTTCCATCTGCCTTAACTATTCTGAAAACAAATGAAAAATAGTTGGATGAACTCTTTCTTATACCAACACAACAGAGTTTAAATTTTATCCAGAAAGAAACAGTAGGTTGTTGTCAAGAGCCATCAGCATATAGAAGGACACAAACTTCTCTTCTAGATGAGCTGCAGGCTTTTCAGAAGGTTTGGCTTTACCTTCAGATTGAAATCTCAAGAATGTTAATGAGAAAAGCAAACAATTTTTTTCCCTATCGGACAAGGCAGGACTGTTTGTAGTCCCTAAATCCTGAAAAAGGAACTTGTGTTTTTTTCAAGATCATGTTGATTGATTTCAAATATATCTTATAGTTTGTATGCTGAGTTTAGACTTGGATACTTAGAAGTGGGCAGCTACTACTCTATTCTGTGTTTGCTTGGGCTTATTTAAAATTCTAGGTTTATTTAAAATATCTATCTGGATGTGTCTCTCAAATTACTTTGTAATTATTGAAATGCCAATATGTTTTAATTTTTCATTACTGCTTGTTAAGGTACAAAATAAAAACTGCAATAGAGTATTTTAGTGAAATTAAAACCATACGCTCCAAACTTCTTACATTCTTTTTTTTTTCAATGGATTGGATAAGTTTCTTTAAGTGCATGGAAGTGTTTAAACTAAATGGAGCAGGGAACCCATGTATGTGTTTCTAGATGGTGATGTAAATCCCCTAGTGAGCCACAGTAATAGGAAAGCAGCACTTGAAAGCCAGATGCAATGAAAATTTAAACATATTGCGTTCATAGCATGTGATAGTTTAATCATTATTTAAGCTTTAGAAATGTCACAGCATAATTACTTTCAGAATGAGTACAAACACTTTCATGCACAAAAATTGCTTTCTTGCTGCAACTTTTGCTTCTCATGGGAAAGTTATGCTTTTGTGAATTTTTCTGAACTTGATCTTGTTCATCACTTGATCACAGACAAATTCTCAGTGAAAACTCAAAATCTAAAAGATTAAAATAAAACCTACAGATATATTTTATAACTAAGCATGTATTTTCTTTATGCTCTTTAAAAAAAAATCTGTGAAGCAATTTCTTTCAATTAAGAAGAAAAATGGCAACAAAACCAGTTAAAGGAAAATGCTTTGTAAACCCTATTTGCAGCATCAAGGAATGGAAAGCTACCAAATGCTGGATTTATAAGCACCCATGCAGGATTAAATTCAGCTCCTCTGTAGATACATTTTTCCAAACCTCACAAGCATACATGGAGCCCTGCCTCTTTCTGTACTTCTGAAGGAAATACAGGGACCAGTACTTATGTTCTAAATTTGTCCTGTATCTGGAATGTTCTGATGAGTGCAGTTGACTTTGCAGTATAAATTCTGTTGATATGTAAAATAGTATCATAATCCCAGACTACATTTAGATGCAAACACTTCCGCTTTACATAGCCTACTATGATTTGTTTATAATATGAGCAGTTTGGGTTGGATTTTGGAAAATAGCAGTTATAACGGTTCTGCCATATCTGAGAAACAGGCTAGAGAAAAAAATACTCTCCATATATTTTGGGGGTGGGGTTGCTTGCACATTTTCTAAGCAGTAATCTTTTTGGAGCAGCTGTAGATCCTCAGAGTAAAGACTTAAAGGTCATAAAAATTGCCTTTGTATCAGGAATGTACTGGAACTTACTTGTGGTAGATTCATTGGAATTTTTCCATCGTGAGTCTTTGTAAACCTGAACTTTTCACATGTTCTGTAGGAGCAAAATCATCGTAATCATTTCACATCCCTTAAGGTTTGTGTCACCTTCTGTGCTCTCATGAGCTTGTTAGTGCTAACCAGAAGATAAATCTGTCATCCCTGTGGAGACACTGAGTGTGCTGTAGATGTACCTGTGGGGCTGAAGGTAGACTTCTCTGTAACTCATGCAATGGCCATGGTACAACCCTTTTCTCTCCTCCTGTATTTCACCTGCTGGGCCCTGACAGCAGAGACTAAAATCACTGGAGACATAGAAGAGAATTAAGCAGGTATTCTTTAATTTAGATCTTCATGTATCATAGAATCATAGAATCACAGAATGGTTTGGGTTGGAAGGAACCTTAAAGATCATCTAGTTCCAACCCCCCTGCCGTGGACAGGGACACCTACAACTAGACCAGGTTTCTCAAAGCCCCATCCGACCTGGCCTTGAACACTTCTGTGGATGGGGCATCCACAGCTTCTCTGGGCAACCTGTACCCAAGTTTCACCACCCTTACAGGGGCAAATTTCTTACTAATGTCTAATCTGAACCTACTCTGCCAGTGTGAAGCAATTCCCCCTTGTCCTGTTACTACATGCCCTTGTAAAAAGTCTCTCTCAGTCTTTCTGTAGATTCCCTTCAGATACTGTAACACCACAACTGGGTCACCCTGAAGCCTTTACTTTTCCAGACTGAACAATCCTAATTCTCTCAGCCTTTCCTCAGAGGAGAGGTGCTCTAGCCCTCTGATCATCTTTGTGGCCCTCCTCTGGACTTGCTCCAACAGACATTCCTTATGTGCTGGGAACCCCAGAGCTGGATGCAGCACTCCAGGTGGGATCTCACCAGAGCAGAGTAGAGGGGTAGAATCCCCTTACTCGACCTGCTGGCCACACTGCTCTGGATGCAGCCCAGGAGGCAACTGGCTTTCTCAGCTGCGATCTCACATTGCTGTATCATGACCAGCCTCTCATCCATCAGCACCCCCAAGTCCTTCTTGGCTCAGCCTTTATTGATACCAGGAGTTGCCCTGATCCAGATGCAGCACCTTGCATTGGTTATCTTAAACCGCACATGAAATTCTCATGTGCCCACTCCTTGAACTTTCCCAGGTTCCTCTGGGTGGCATCCCATCCTTCAGGTATGTCAACTGCACCACTCAGCTTGATGTCATCTGCAAATTAGCTGAGGGTGCACTTGATCTCTGCGTGAAAACAAGACTGTTCCCTGTCTGATACATGGTCTAAGGGCAAAAACTGGGAAATTTGCTATGGGCACGCAGTAAGCTAAATCACTTGTATGTGAACTTAATGAATATTAGAACAGGTTTTAGTTTCACAGAACTACCAAATAACTGTGGAAAGTGTTGGTGTTTGTGGTCCTGACATGCCCTTCAGTCTGGCAGCCCCAGTTTAAGCTCCCTGCCTACACTTGGCTCTCCTGTCATGCAGTGCTGTGATGGAGAAGGTAAGATAGGCTGACAAAACGGTCCTCAAAGATTCACTGAGATCAGGGTGTGTCCTGCATGATGAAAGGAGCAATTATTATTTTAAAGGCTGCCATCCATCCCTACAGGCACCAAAGTATTACATCACTGTGTGTATAGGACAGAGTGGCAGTAATCAATAGATGTAATAGATGTCCCACGGAGGGACAAGTTAGTATTTCCCAAGCAGAATGACTGGATATAATTAAGTGAAATAAACAAGGCTTATGCTTAGGGGGGAAAAAGCCCTCATCAACTCTTGTGAGTTGAAAAGCAAGATTTCTTTATCAAATAGTACAGTTGGGTTTGTTTAAGCATAGAATTTCTTCACCAGTCGAAACCATATATTTCTTGCAAAGCAAGCAATATGGTCTGTTGCTTGAACACAAAAATGATGATGATTGAGTGATAAAGAAACAAAGCAATGTACGTGATTTTTATTACTGACAAGCAAAACTGAAAATCTGAAGCCAGATACATCTGATAATTTCAAGACTCACTTGACAGATAATACAGGTATGCTCTTTCACTGAGACTTTCTGACTGCTCTCAAATCCTGTCCTCACAGGGCCCAGCCTCCTCTCCCAGAGTGCACTCCAGCTCAATTCCAAACCTGAAGGGTCTTTCCAGTACTCAGCCAGCTACCACAGCAACCAGACTCTTGCCCTGGGTGAAACAGCGGCTGCCCAGCTCCCGTCGCGCAGCAGTCAGGCCAGAGGTGCCATCCAGAGCTACAGTCAGGTATGTCTCCTAATGAATTGGGGTCTCTCACATCTGAAATTGTGTGGAGTACCTCCCAGGAAACAGTGCTTGCCTGCATCTAAATTTCTGCCTTTGCTTTCTGTCTTGTTCAACACACCTGCAGCAGGGTGGAGTTACCATCTTAATTTTTGTAAATCTATAGTGGGTTGACTTGCATAGTAATAAAGTAATCCTGATTAAAAAGGAGATTTACATGCCAGTTTTACTTACTTGCTTGCATATATTTTCTGGTAATAGCATGTTTAAGCATTTAATTTTGAAAGCAAATTTCTGTGACTGTGCTGATTAGCAGCCCATACTAAGGTTTAGGACCTGCCAGCTTTGGTATGAGCATATTACTGAAAGCAGTAAGTGCCAGGAAACAAAAACAAAGCCATGCTGACACCAGATGCGAAACCCGCTTGGGATATCATGCATCACCTGATGCTGTGGCCTAATCCCAAGTGTAAGAATAACTTTTTTTACCCCATATTGCAAACCAACCAGCTTCTCAAGTTCAACCAGCTTCAACCTGTACATTTGAAACATTTTGAAAGATTGTTTCAGATACAAATGAAAATTTTGTAAATCTCTTTGCCTGTCTACAGGGCTCTTCCTGGCTCTTATATGTAACCCTCTCACCTTCTGTGCTTTTTACTGTGACATCAAAGCCTCTCACTAGGAAGTTAAGCTTCAATTTAGAAAAAAATTTCTAGAAGTGTTCATGCTTTCGTTCATAAACAAAGTCTGACTTGGTTGCATTGGTCACCACAGGTTATGTTCTCTGTTAAGATTTTTACCATCCCAGCAAAGTACATCATCTCAGTGTGACACTGGGACATTTCATAATTCAGGATTCTGTAGAGGAGAGTAGTATTTGAATTTCAAAGCCTTAAATTGCTAAGAGATTTCAAGTATTATAGTCATTGCTCAGTTTATGGGATACCGAGAGACATACAATATCCTATTCTCTCAATTTGCTCAGAAAAGCTCCCTATCCTCTAAGACTGAAAAATGACATAAAGCACAGTTAAATTTAATTTCAAAATGGGTAGATACGTCTTTTTCATAGAATCTTTTAGGTTAGAAAAGACTTCTAAAAACATGGAGTCCAACCACTAACCCAGCACTGCCAAGGTCATCACTAAAACATGTCTCCAAGCGCCACATCTGCATGTCTTCTAAATACCCTTAGGGATCATGACTCAACAACCCTTTCAGTGAAAAAATTCTTCCTGATGTCCAACCTGAACCTCACCTGGTGCAGCTTGAGGCCATTTCATCTTGTCCTATCACTCCTTACCTGGCAGAAGAGACAGCCTGACTACAACCTCCTTTCAGGTAGTTATAGAGAGTGATAAGATCACCCCCAAGCCTCCTCTTCTCCAGACTAAACAACCCCAGCTCCCTCAGCTGCTCCTCTTAAGACTTGTGTTCTAGACCCTTCCCCAGCTCTGTTGCCCTTCTCCAGACCCGCTCCACAACCTCAGTGTCTTTCTTGTAGTGAGAGGTCCAGAACTGAACACAGGATTCAAGGTGTGGCCTCACCAGTGCTGAACACAGGGGGATGATCACTGCTCTAATCCTGTTGGCCAGCCACTATTCCTACTGATACAGGTCGCCACGATGTGCATTCCCTGCTTGACCACGCTGGCACACTGCTGCTCATTTCAGCGCCAGTGTTGACGCAACACCAGTCCTTTTCCTGCGGGCCACTTGCCCAGCCACATCTTCCCAACCTGTAAGGTGCCTCCATTTGGAACAAGTGCAGGACCCTAGCAACTTTTGCCTCAACTCGTAAACCTACAGAACTGGCCTTCAACCAGACAATTGATAACAGCCTGCTTCAGATCCTCTGCCAGAGCACTTCCTAACCCTCACAGCAGCACCATATCACTCCCGACATCAACCTCTATGGTTTTGTCTGCAAAACTGAATCTTAGGTAACTAGCTATCGATCCCCATCTGTAACCAGGGATCATCAAGTGAAAAATAGGTTAAAGACGCAGATAACTCTCCCCAGTACTGAGCCTTGGGGAGCCCCACTAGTGGCAGGGCACCAACTCGATGTAGCACCATTCATCACCACACTGTGGGCCCAGCTATCCAGCCAGGTTTCAACGCAGCGAAGAGTGCACCCTGCCGTGCCATGGGAAGCCAGTTTCTCCAGGTCAATGTTGTGAAAAAAGTGTCATCTGGAGTTGTGCTTTTTGAAAAGCATCGTACCCCAGAGGTTCACCTGAAAGACTGTGGTGAAGTCCTTCAGGAGACTGGAAAAAGTAAGACCATGAAAAGGGAGCAGGTTATAAGAGCAACAGAAGCAAAAACAAAGAAATGAGAGGGGAAGGAGAAAGAATCTATTTTTTAAAAAAGGCAGGAAGGAAAATTATGCAGTTATATAGAAGTTAGAAATAATTATATTCTTTATATAAATTTTGTTATTCTCATTTGTAGAAAAGGATGAATTTATGGAGGGGGAAAAAATAATGATGTAGATTTCCTTCTTTGAAATTACACTGAAAGCCATTGCTTAGATATGAGAAGCTCTCATGAACAATCCACTTCATAGAGAACTGGTTTCTTTCAGAAATGTAACTAGTAAGTTAGTAAGGCAACCTTTCCTAACCTATTTTTCTTGGTATAGAGAGCAGAAAATAGGTTTTCTTCTTGTTTTCCTTCACATTGTGTGGTAGATGTCCCTGCAGGAAAACAACTCAGAGAACTTAATAATTTTTCACACCATGATCCTGCAATCTGACAACTTCAGATCAACTAAAATATATTTTGAAATTACTAACAAACTGCCATAAAAACTATGAATTAATGCCATAAAAAGCATATAAGGGAGGCTTAAAAGAGGTAACCAAGAAAAGGAAGATTCAAAAGTCAAAATTAAAAAGTTCTGAATATGACCATTGCCAATCCCACAATTAAGGAGGAAAAAAAAGTCAATTCTTGGAATTGTTTTGCTATCCCTATTATAATTAAAATAAGCCTCAGGAGTTGAAACTGCTCAGATTGTGATAATTTCCTTTGGTATTTGTGTGCAAGGAATATAGCTATCTCTCAACATAAGTGATAGCCCAAATGCATGCAAAAAAATGTAAATAGTCCCAAGGCCAGCTGTGACAGCAAGAACAATTTGTGGAAATGCAATTGTATAAAAAAGAGAAACTAATTAGTCTTGGGACTTCCTGTATAGTGCTGCAAAGTGCAATCTAACATTTTTGTCAATTTGGTGGAGTTCATTATAGATCATAGAGTTTTTTCTGTGCTTTGAGTGCTTTAGAACACAAAACTTTTATCTTCTAAATGCTACTGGAATTGGATTTCATAGCAAAAACTGCTCCTCTGGCAGGGAATTACTCTGCTTCCCCACTGAAAACAGCTTTTCAAACTTGGTGTCCAGATGCTGATATATCCTCTATTAATAAGTGTGGTTAAAAAGAAAACTAGCAGATTTTGCAGATGAGTTGCTCAGAAATGAATCTTCTATTTGGACAATGTAACTTGACAATGACTGGGTTTACTGTAATCTTGAGAGTGGTCATTTTACGTTGTAGATACCATAGGAATATAAAGCATAACATATTCTACCATGTGTTTGCAAGGGAAGAGAAAGGGAAGTTTACATTTCTGGATGAGGACTTGTTTAGCTTTTGGTGATGCTGCAGTCTTTTCAGAGGCTGAGGCAGCAACACAGGTAAATCCCTACTGTGTATTATCCCATGCTTCTGATGCTTCTGGACTGAATAAGCTGACACAGAACTGAAAAACCCTAAAAACCAAAAAGGGAGATGGAAAATTAAGATGTTAAAAAAAAACACCTTGAAAACCATTTAACAGTTGATTTTCTGACTTGTCTATACTCTTTTTCCTATAAACAAGTTATAAGTTTGTCATTCATCAGACCACCACACCTCACTAGCCCTATTTATTTAATTCATGAGCAAATGAGTGCTAGAATGTGTTCACTTGTCAAGCAGAAACTGTATACTGGCCACAAGATGATAGGCTGCTTCAAAAACTACCCAGACAAAATCTAAAATAAGTTCTTAACTTCTGATAGGATATAGCAGATGATGATAAGTTTAATAACTGGATTCTAAGTGTGAACATGAGAAGTTGTCTGTCATTACAGAAACAGATGAAATCTTAAGTCAGATTACTCTTATTACAGCACTCAGAGAACAATTCACTAGTAGAGCTTATGGCAGTGAAGATCTGCAGTGCTGGTTTGATCCTACAATAGGTAATGATTGCAGCTTTCACTGCTGCTTTAAAAGCACAGATTAACCATCTCTGGACACTCTGAAAGGATCTCACGCAATTCTGTTTCTGGATGTAAAAAACTACGATAATATTACCTACCTTCATCTATATGTGTGGCCTTTGAGATCAGGATCAGGTAGGCTGACAAATTTTCCTAATGGTGTTGGAATGTTTGGAGTGGAACAATGAAACAAACTGAGGAGAAACAGATGGAATAGGACATATTTGAGAGATCCAGAGGATAGTCTGGCATCTATTATTGTATAAATACATTTGAACATAGGTAGCATCTTCTTGATGTTAGGTCAGGAACTTAAAAATGACATTAAAGCAGTCCTGCAGAAGAATGGCCCTTCTTCAGGTCCTCCCCAAAGAGTGAAGTGTGCATCCCAAAGACTAGAGAATGTTAAGAATTTTCCATGCCCTCATCTGCCCTATGTAAGAGTTTTGATAGAGGCATTGGACCAGAGCAGAGTGATACCTTGAGTGAAGCCTTATGAAAGGTTCTTTGGGCTGACAGAAAAAAAAAGTGGCCCTCAATAGACTGGCAAGTCTTGCAGTCTCTGAAAGAGCACAGAGCATAACTGAGATTGTGAAACAGACCTGCACCCTTAGGGTGTCTCTCGAAAACCGTAGTAAGGATGATCAAGTTTTCTGCCTAAAACCAGCAACACACACCAATATTCAAAAGCCTGAGCAGCCTGGAGGAATGTCTTCCACGCAACTTGAGCATACAATTCGAAAATCCTCCCTAGATTCAAGAGAAAGGGTCTTCACCTGGGCATCAGTGTGCTACATATGACTTTGGATTCATGAGATATGACCTTGTTTGAGATTTTATGGGCCAAGAGATCGCTGAAAGTTCCAGAGAGCAAAACAAGCTGAAAGCTTATGCTGGCATTTAATGCTAAACTAAAAATACTTGTGAATAGAATTTCATCCAGACCTAAGATGGGCATGTAGACTGACTCAAACGTAACATAACTTTTCAGTTTCTTCTGTTACCTGTCAGAGAAGTACAAAGCACACTGAGTGCAAATTTTCATTTCTCAAAGTTAACTAGTACCATGATTCAAATTTTCCAGCATTTTCCTGGAAACTGCATCATTATCTCATTCTAATGAAATTACTATGAAGGCTTTTCTGGTTTTAGTTCTAAGACTCAGGCGGTTGCACTGACAGAAGTTCCGTTTCTTAGTACCTGTGAATTATGCAGCATAGATACACACAGCCCAGCAGGTTTTGTGTTTGTGTTTTCATATCTCTAAGAAGCAAATGGTTTGAAGAGATTATAGCTGATACATCAAATAGATTTGCTGCACCTGCTGACATCATAATGGTCATCTTGTTCTCCGAGATTTTTGCTATTCAGGTTTTGCTAGTGTTACACACCATTTTTCCCTCTGGGAGCAATCTCCAAGAATCAACGTGCTGCTGTTTCAGTAATTAGCAGCTGATCCCAAAGTTTCACATAAACTGTCTAGTCATCTAGGATTTTGTAATTCCTTATCCATGGAAAATTTTTCTGCAGAATAAATAAGTCAACACAGTTATTTGCCCCTCTCAATTCCACTCCATAAAACAGAAATCCTGTCTTGCAGTCTTTCATTTACTCTTTTTTGGTTAATTTAATGTTTCAATTTTGATTTACATTTTCAATTGGAATTGTAAAAAAAAAAAAGCTATTTTACTGGATTTAGTGCATTAAATGCTTGAATGAACAGGCAAACAACAGTTAGACTGTTGTCTAGTCTCCTATAACCTAACTGGACACCCTCAGTAATTTTCTGTATAAAGTTCTACAGATCTTGTTTCATACATATCAGTAGAAAATGATCTTTGTAAGATTAAATGGGGAAGAAAATATTTTCATAGCTGTAGTTATGTTCTCATGGTTTGTTTTTTTTTTCACAAATTCCTGCTATTAGGAAGGATATAGCAGAATCTGTATATTGAAACCAAATAATCAAGGCTACTTTTCTTTGAGATACCAGAAAAATGAAATCTCTGTGTCTCAGAATGGGTATTTATATGCCTATAGTAAGAAAGCCCTTGACTTTTATTCACATCTTTGAAACAGGTTGATGCAGGAGGATAAAATAATTGGGAAGCAAATTTGTTCTCAGTTTATTAGCTTAAACACAGTTTTGTTATCAGGTTGACAACAATGGATAAAAAGAAAAATACTATTGTAATTTATTCTTCTATATGAAGTAAAATGTCACATTGCAGGATGAACAATGACGTCTGTATGGCTGTCTTAAGCAACAGACTGGGAGAAACACAAGGAGAAACTAAACACATTTTGCCTCCGAAAACATGCATGGAGAATGTTACTGTACACTTGTCCCTTTGAAAAAATATAAGAACCTCATGGTACATTTAAGACAGGTCTGAGATTAGTCACATCCCAGAAGATACTGCATGCTAATGTTTTCATTGCAATCTGTTCATCCAAAAGTTCTCTACTTCACACAGAGCAAATGCTTAGCTTTTTAAGAAGGGCTATACGCTGCATTTCTAATTAAGCATTAAATTCCTGTGTCCCACTACTACACTTTGTTCCCTATAACAAATAGTCATGAAATTGGAATTTTTTTGTTGATTTTTTTTTTAATTAGTACCTGTAGAATGCCTACAGCTTTATAGAGATTTATTAGGAATATGGAATAACATTGGTTTACTTGAAATTAATTACTCTAAATCCTTGACACATCAAGCAGCGTAGAAGCAGATTAGAAAAAGAAATTTTGTATACATGATGACAGTACTTGTGTAAAATCCTTATGATCAAGACAAAACTGTCCCAGTTGTCAGTATATTAGCAGTGTGTTGCACTGGTATTATTGCAGAAGACTGTATTTTTGGAACGCTGTTTATTACAAAATAAATTATTATGCCACTTAACAGTCCAAAAAGTAAAATTAAGAAATATCAATTGATAATGTAGCTGGTTTAAATGACCTTTCGTTATGTGCAGAATTTGCTCTGTCCATGTTGTCTTAAATCATGCTGGCCTGTTTTTGTTTCATAAAAGTTGTTACCATATAGTCTAAACCTGGAAAGTGAAAACTGTACTCCTGTCAAATACATTATTGGACAGTCAGTTGCAGAGTAGCCCTTCTTCCCAGTTTAAAGCAGATAAGGTAAGTAGCTCAGCATGAAAGTAGCTTTTAAAAGTTCGTTGATGTTCCTAGAGTTGGCCTTCCTGGTTTTTGTCAGGAGTCTTTCAAATGAGCAACTTGCACTTGATGCCCATTTATGAAACTTTCAAGGCTTGTGCTTGATGCTGTGGTGTTTGTAACTCCCTGCTGCAATCAGAACAGTCCAACTCAAAAGAGAGCAGGCTACTTACATCTGTGATCCACTTGCTCGCCGGGGAGTTACCGCACAGAGCACCTCGAGGGAACAGTTTACACTTCATTTATCTGTAAAGCCATTGCTCTATGAGGTGCAAAACCTCAAGAAGCCAGTGAGGTTTGGGTCTGGCAGTGCTCCCTTGAGAGGCCTGAATGCTCTAAGTGCTGTAGTTTCTTCCATGCTGCTAACAACTGAGAACAAAGCACCAGGAGCAGCTTCTCTAAAACCTTGTTTCTTGTCACTGTCTAGGAAAATACCTATTCTTCCCCCAGATGCAAGGCATTTGAGTAAATTTAAGTGAAAAAAAGGACAGAAAAATTCCCAGTGGGCATACATAGGTAGAAGTACACATTTCTGGCATTTAAAACCTTGTTTATTCTTTGCTCTGATTAGTTACCTTGTCCTCAGTTCCTGATCAAATCCTTTATTGAGTATCCTAGTGAAAATAAATCAAATTTCGTACGAGGAACATGGTGCTTTTGCTTACTTGTTTGGATTTTTTTCTTTTTTTTCCTGTAGGATGCTACTAAAAAACCACATTGATATTTAAATGTATAACAATGCTGCTCTTGGCATTCACCACACCTCTTTGAATTGAGTCACAAAATTCATTATTCACATTTTAAAGCCTCTTCTCGCTAAGGAAATCAGTGTTTGAGGTGTGTGCATGTGTTCTGGGGAAGCACTGGTCAGACCGATTCAAACTACACTGTCAATTCTGACGATGTGGAGCGCTTTCTGGGGTTTCAAGTAAATCCCCTGCATAACCAGAAGAAAATAGTATCTGAATCCAAGAGTGCATCTTCCAACAGTGCTGAACTCTCGCTCACTGCGGGGTGCAGTTGTGAGAGGATTTTAATGTTACCAGATTCACAGATGTTCTCCTAAGCTTAAGATCCTCGATAAAAAAAGGGGAAGCCGTCTATATGTGAGGGCGAGCTCCATCCTCTGCGGCTCCAGAAGCTGCTCAGGCACATAACCGAAATTTCTCATAGGCGGCATCTCCCGAGGATTTTCACTCGCTCCTTCTGCCCAGCCCCCTTCAATTACTGGCCTTAGGAAGAACTTAGCGCTGCCCTGCCCGCGGCCAGTCGGTCCGTGCGAGGAGCTCCCTCCCTCTATCCGGATGCAGATTCCCCGCTGGATGCGGCCCGGGGGAGGGCCCGGCCCCGGCAGCTCCTCCCGTACCTCCCGCCCCCTTCGTGCCGCGTAAATAAGTACGAGGCGGGCGCTTGCCGTGGTGCCGGCGGGGCTTGGCGTGAACTGGCCCGGGATTCCCCTCCCTCCGCCCCTTTATACGAGGCCGGGGCCGTGGTTGTGCCGCCGCTGGGGACAGGGAATCCCCGGTGCGGTGCCTCTCCTCGTGCGGACAGAGATTGCTGGAAACCGAGGAAAGTTACTCCATTAAAGCCCTTTCCGTGGCTTCGGCTGCTCTTCTCTAATGTATGCAGAATAAAGGGGCGCGGGCGTATCTTTGTATGTATGTATTTATTTGACCCGGGGCTAACCTCTGCCTGGTTTAGAGGTCTGTAGGCGAGCGCGTTCCGGCGCCCCGGAGCGCTGTGCCCCACGGCCGGGTGGCGGCTTCAGCCGTCGGGAGGACTTTCGACGCCGCTGGGCCCGA